CCCTCCGCCTTCAAGAGTCCACTGGTCCTGCTTCATCCAAAGCACAGGTCCTTTCGGAGACGAGCCTGCGTGTGTTTCACGTTTGGGGACCTCTTCCTGTCCTTGTAAGGTAGGGTTTCCCTCAGCAAGTGCCCTTCAGTTCTTTCTGTGCCCTCAGCACTTGAGACCCCCGTGGAAAGCAGTTTTCAATCCGTTGTTGAATCTCCTAGATGGAGGGCTTTTAAACAACTATTTCAAAAAGAAAAGATTGCTTTTTATTGTTCTAAAGACCCACATGAAAATGTGATTCATTCAAAACAGCAAACCCATCATTTTTAAAACAAAGACTCAGTGTGGTAAATTTGCTGGTTAATTAAGAGTTCATGCAGTTCTGCAGACACGGTGAACAGGCCGCTGGCCAGCGTTCGTTAGGATAACAGATCTGTCGCCAGGTCCCAGTCTCTAATGAGGACCTCCGCCAGCACGGACGCTCTGGTTTTGGGATAACATTATCTAAGGTCCGGTGCTTTCGGAATAAACAAGCTGCCACTGTCTTAGCGTCTGTCGGGTCATCCACAGGGGGAAACACAGGGACTGGGAACCTGGCCTCCATCAGTGAGCATGCGTGGGCATCTAGCTGGTTGCCGCCCCGGGGGGCGGGGGTGTGAAGTCCTGGTGCCCTCACCCCAGAGCAGATTGCACAGAGCCATCCTCTGCGTGCCGGTAACACCCATCCTGCCGTTTCTGTTTCCTCAGCCACAGCAGCCCCTGCTGGTTTGGGGGGCCGCTTTCAGATCCTGCCTTCACTCCCTTACCCAGTGCAGCAGGAAGTGCCGTGTGGGGCTTCCTCGCAAGTGGGAAGGGAAGCAGCAGAGGGTCCGCGGGAAGCAGCCCCTTCTCCTAGACATTCGTCCGGCACAACAAGATTTTCCTGTGGAGTTGCCTCCTGACCTTCCAAGGAGGGAAATAACTTGTGGCGGCCCTAAGCCTTCCGGCAGGGCAGAGGCATAGCTGGGGGCTGGGGCAGGGAGCAAGACCGGCTTATCATTTTAAAGTAGCTAGGCTACACCAGGGAGAAAGCACCACCCAGGACAGTTCTTCCTTCCCACAGCAGTTAGAGCAGACAGATTTTTTTTTCAGTACTGGACTAAAGCCAGGTTTTCATATTGAGCTGTATTCTAAGCCCTTTTATATATTTTATTTGAGACAAAGTCTCAGTAAGTCAGCAAGTTGTTCAGGCTGGGCCTGAACTTTTGATGGAAGGCTGTCTGGGAGTAAGTCTCCAGGGAATCTGCTCGGGCACACGTCGGAGGAGCCGGCGTGGGACACCGGCCGTGACTCCTGGTGTCCTGTGCTTCCTTACCACCCACGAGCTGCATGCAAGATGACCGTAAGGAGGCGACCTTCAAGTCGGAGCCACAGAGAAGCTGCCACGGGTCTCCTACTTGGAAATCCTAGTTGACACAATTTCTTATGTACACTATGATCTATAGTTTCATCCATTACAATCATTTAGATAGTACTATAATACATAATTTTTAAATGTGTGTGTTTAAAGAATGAGAGACTTTCGTAGAAAACAGGGAGTTTTATTGCCTAAGAGCTTCCTAAATCTCATTAATGTCCAGGGTTTCTTGCTTTGTTGTTTTTGACTGGCTGTCTACAAGCAAAGTCACCAAATCTTGTGAGAAGAGTGGTACGAAGGGGGGCCAGGAGCTTTTGTGACTGAGAGAGTAAGATAGTAGTTCAGGTAAACATGTAGCAGGGACCCTGGTAGGCACTTACTGCTGGGCGGGTTAATTTATACTCAGAGTCGCCAAGTAGGACTAGAAGAGCAGTAGCTGCACTTTCTCTCTTCTCTTTCTTCCTGCTCTAAAGATTCCTAGCAAGTGTTTTTCTAAAAAAAAAAAAAAAAGTAATAAATGAAAACAAGAGACAAGAAAAAAAAGTCACAGGACTGTCCTGCTACAATGCTGTATATGGTTAGATTTCTAAATTTCGGTGTAAAAATATGTAATTGTTTATTCCCATTTTTTAAATTTTAAAATTTTTTTAATCTTTTTTCTTTACATTCTGTAGGGATTTAAAGTTTAACATATCAATACTTGATGGAAAATACCTGTTCTATGTTATGTCTAAGATGTTTGATATTCAGACGGATGGTGAGGTTAAGCTTAACTGCCTATGTTGTAGGGTATTAATATCATTAAGCTTCTCTTTTGGAGGGTTAACAACTTAAGTTTGCAGACCAAAAATTTGAGAAAAAGAAGGGCTGCAAGGACAGCCAACATTTTGGTCCTAGCCTTTCAAAGTCGGTGAGGACTCAGGACATAGGAGAACCTGGACTGTAACATCCCGTAACTCAGAGGTGTTCCAAATTTTCTGCTCAAGGAGATTATGGGGCCACAGAGGAAAGTGATCAACGATGTAGAGTGAGCCTAAGGAGAGTCACGTGGAGAGAAAACATTCTCTCAGGCTTCCACAGAGAGCACATTGGCCCAGCAATGGCCGTGACTCATCCACATGGCTGACACTGACAAACGATCTATAAACTATAGTACAGGGTTTCAGGGTAAATCCTGAGGGGATTTGACTGACCTTGGCAGATACAAAAGTTTCATTTCTTGGTACATAGGTCTTGCTTTATCTTGGTCTTAACCATCCAGTAGGAAAGTATAAAAATGAGGTACAAAAAGTAAAGCCATATTAATATGCTGAGCTGTAAAAGGCTCAAGTCAACAACTTCTGACATTGCCAGTCCTCTAGATAACCCCCTACTATTATGGGCTACTGGACTATATTGGATTATTTTGCTGAATTCATGCACCTACAATATTTAAATGGCAATGGAATACCCATCTCCGACAAAACTAAACAAAAAAGGGGAATATAAATGAAGGACCATTTTGTATTCAAAATAGGATAGATATACAGCTACTTTCTCTTAATTCAATGAGAAGAAAAATTTGTACTAATAGTGTTTGGACAGGATATCATGTCTGCACCTTGTACTATGAATACTACGAAGACAACAATATGCAATGTATTAATTATTGAAACTGCCCTAAATAACCTGCTTTGAAACTGTCTCATTGCTATTTGTTTCTCAATAAAATTAATAATAAAAAAAGCTTCCTCGCCCTGAGCTGCTACCCCAGGGTGACGATCAGCAGGAAGGCAGAACCTACATGTCTGAGCACTTTGTAAGTGTGTTCGTAAGATTCGGACTCAGGCGATGGGGACCTTTTTATATTTATCAATTTGATCAAGGTTTTTAAAAAGCTCTTAATTAACTTCAGCAATACTGCATTCTACAAAACACTCGTGACTTTGTGGGTTCCTCCTTAGAGTTAAAATGTGACCCCAGGTTTCTCCTCAGTCTGGTGTGGACACAAAGACCACAGTCGGCTGAGTACCTGATGGGTGACACAGGGTGCTTGAGGCTGCTGCTCCTGGGTTTGGGGGAAATTCGCCTTCACTCAGAGGCCAGAGCTCTTGCAGTGGCACGAGCTGCACCCTTAGCCAACTGAAGGGATCCGTGGATGCGTAGGGCTCTGAGGATCTTGGCAGCACTTCCTGGTCTCTTTCCTGCTGAAGGCGAGTTTACTAGAAAGGCAACTTGCCAAGTGACTTCCCAAGAAACAGCTCTGGCCCATACATCTCTGCAACCCAAGGTAATGGTCCTTATGGATGGTGTGAAGAAAAGACACCAACCAACACATCAGGGTTCTGCCAGCAAGCAAGCATTTGGAGACGGCTACAGAACTCTTCTGGTCTGAAGATTCTTGGGGTGAGCTGGGCCATCCTCTGTTCTCAGAAAGATGCAACAATAATTACCAGAGACAAGACAGCTGTCTTTCCAGAATTCTGTGCATTCTGACTTCTCACTGAGAACAGAGGATGGCTTGGCCTCTGGAGATGGGCTGTGATAGTCCCTTGGGGCTATACACACTGTGTCATCCCCTGTCTCACCTCACCAACTGCACTGCCAGTCTGCAGAGGACTAAGACCACGCTTGGCTCTTGCTCTGCTTGCTCGTTACGTGGCTGTGTCTGTCTCTGGAGGCCTTCACATGCTGGTAGCCGAGCAACTGCAGAGCAATCGACGACCCTACCGGAGTGCGTGGCTCCGGTGAGCACGCCCTTATGGTCACTGGCCATGAGACTGTATTTAAGAAGCCAACAACTTCACAACAGTCATTTTACCCAAATACCATGATCTGAGGATAAAGGCTTTCACCCCGAAACATTTCAGTAAATTCCATACACATGAAACCCACAGCAAACAAGCAAGTTTGGGAGAGTCTATGAAATGAGCAGATTGTTCTATTGTTAGTTGTTGCTTTAGAACAGGAGGATATATTTCATTTGGCTTTTGATACATGGTTGAAGTGGATGGGTTATGTGTTGGAGTAAACTAGCCAATTGGAGCAGCTGCCTTTTCCATTGTGTGTGTGTGTGTGTGTGTGTGTGTGTGTGTGTAGGTGTGACAAACAAAACCGCTATGCCAATAGTCACTGTCTTCATCGGTGGGGCTGGGTACTTTAGTGTTCTTGTAGACAACATGTTGTGGTGGGACATTGGAAGTAACCAATAAGAGTTAGGATACAGTTACTAGGACCACATGAGCATCACTCCAGGAGGCCTGGGATTTTGGTCTCCTTGAATCTTCTTGGGGCTTTCCACCCTTCTTCACTTGCCCTACGCTCTGACTCCTTTCTCTTATCTGCATGCTGGGACTTCTCCAGGCCATGCCAATGTCCCTGCTGGAGTGGATGCGGTGGACCAAGTCTCTGGCCACTGGTGCAGAGGACAGGAGATAGCTGGGATGCACAGGCCACTGGAGCCCTGTGGAGACGTCTCCCTGTGGGCGAGCGGGGAGGTGGCGAGCAGGGCTCTGAGGTGGCCACGTGGGGCTTGCAGAGCTCTTCCACCTGGGGGGCTGCAGAGCGCATGTGGAAGCGCATGACACCAAGTCTCCACAGAGACCCAGGACAAAGGCGTGTGTGCCCTCAGCTCTGGTCAGTGCTGCCTGGAAAAGAAGTTCTTGAAGGCACTGCTGTAGTTCTTGTTGAAGGCTGTGTAGATGAGAGGGTTGAAAAAGGAGTTGGAGTAGCCAAGCCACAGGAAGATGCTCTTCCAGATGGCCGGGACATCCCAGGAGCAGAGGGGCCCGACCAGCTCAGTGACAAAGAAGGGGATCCAGCAGAGCACGAATACCCCGATGAGGATGCCCACCATGAGCGCTGCCCTCTGCTCCTTCTGCTCCCGCCACGTGTCCCCTTCTGTCTGGAAGGTCACCGTGGTGGGGCGGACCGTGAACACCATCTGTGACTGATGTGTGGAATCCTTCACCTGCAAGACACAAGCAGCAGCACTGTGAAGACCCAGCTCCTGCACCTGCAGGTGGAGCCCGGGTGCTGTCGGCCCAGGCCCCGCACAGCTGCTCTGAGGCAAAGCAGGCTGTGCTGGTGCAGGAGCCGAGGGCTACAGGACTTGAGCACAGACAGGAAAGGGGTCGACGAGGCCGGGGTGTGCCTATGCACCCCAAGGGCGTGTGAGTGTGATGCTAACAGCCCTGTTTGCTCAGCAGAGGGGACAACAGCAACAATAAGGCCTGGGGCACATGGGGTTCAGCAGCAAAGGCACTGCTCACAGGTGCCCTCACTCACGGTGGGTTCTGTCCCAGTGGACCCATCACAAGCTGAAAACAGCATAAGCACTCAACACTCTGCCAAGCATGCTGGCTCTGCAGCGGAGTCTGCCATAGAGGTCAGGACATGGCCTCTGTGATGGCAGAGTGACACTACCACTACTGAGCCTCAGGACAGAGGGTCCTGCTATCGAGGAAAATCAAACTTCTAATAATTTTTTTTTCTAATAATTTTTAAAAGGGCTGTTGATATAGCTCAGCACTCTCTAGGTCCTGTCACCAATACTGGAAAAATAAACGTGTGTTGAGTCATCTGTAAACCTAGGACCAGATTTCTAGTCTTTATGGTGTTCTAGATTGCTGTGTATCTCTTCTAACGTGGCAGTGTGCTGGTTGGGAGGTGTGTCTCTCTAGGCTCCTGTCGGGTATCTCCCCACTGGCCACTGCTGCCGCCTTAAGCAGGGACAACACACCACAACCTTCTCTCGACATCTGTGTCATCCACGGGAGAGCTTCCTGCAGGGTGGCCTCTGCCTGCATTTCCTTCTCCCTGAAAAAAACGTGCCCTGCCAGCCCAGAATTGTGTTTAGCTCTTAGGACCCCGGGAGCCACAGGTGGCTGATGATTCACAGCCTAAATAGGAAGGAAGCAGCTTCACTGGATGTGGTAACTGAGTTAGAGGAGGAACCCATCCAGCCAAGCCCCAGGACAGTTGCCTGACCGGCAGGTCATTCTCACGGGTGACCCTGCCCTGACTGTCACCTTGGTCCTCTGACCCCAGCCTCCCATCACTCAGGGAGCTCCGCAGCTCGCTCGCCAGCAGCACACAATCTTCTTGGTGCTAGATGTGGTGGGAAAGTCCTGTTAATTCAAACCATGGAATAGGCCGACAGCTGTATCTTTAGAGTAGTGGATTGGACTTGTTGTAAAACAACAACAACAACAACAACCAGGTGGTAGTAAGGATGCTAGAGTTGAGATAGCATAGCCAATTTATGAATTATTGATTTTGTATGATAACCTTGGCAGCATTTATTGGAAAGGCAGGAGAATATGAGGTGTTGAGCAACTGAAAAGAAGATAAGTGTTGAAGAGCATGGTCTGCAGCACTCCACGCTGTAGGACAGAAGCCAAGTCAGCAATGAGATCTCTGTGCCATCACCTCCTGTCACAGTGCACAGAGAGGCAGAACTCTTTCAGGGAAAAGCTCCTGAGGACAGTGACTCCACTCATAATAACTGGATAAATAGAAGTTTTCCTTATTGTTTAATGATTGTCACAGTAATAATGCCTACGTGGGCTTTCAAGGAAATTACAGTCACTGCTCTCTGCCCCAAATAACACCGCAACCCACGTAGCCACGGCTGACCACGTAGCCTGAAGTTCCCCTCTGGTCAGCCACAGAAGACTCTACTCACAGTTAATACTTCCTATTGTAGCTACAGTTATACATGAACTAGAAGAAAAGGTGACGCTTGGATCCCTAAGAAAGACACGCAGAAGCTTTGAGACTCACTTTCTTGATCCGACCTGGGAGACTCGGGGTCATGATTTGGGGGTCACCCACACTCTGCTTCAAGTTATGCCTGTTTGTGTCACACTTGCTCAGTGTCTGTTGCCCACAAGTTTACATGCGCAACATATTCAGAGAGATGATTTAGAATGATTGAAAGAGCAGGATAAAAGCATGTGAATCAGTGTGCAATCTCTCTCTCCCCTCCTCTCCCTTTCCCTCCCTTTCCCTTCTCTCCCCTCCTATCATGGTTTTGGGTTTTTGTAAGGGAAACAATTCAATATAGGACACATTTTATAATATTTTACAATGAATCACCCAAAGAATCATATACAAAGACTGCAAAAAATCTGTCCACACACTAAAGACCAAAGAATCTACCTGAGGGCCTAGATCCTAACACCCTGCATGAGTCCAGATCAAGACCTAGCACTCAACACTACCTCCCACAAGTCCAGTTGGAGGCCTAGAGCCCACGACAATGTCTTATGCAGGCCTGCTTTATGGATCTGAGCTGGAAAGGACCAAAGGTCAGTGGTGGAAGCTAGGAAGTCTGCCAGGAGGATGAAGGACCTCTGCCAGCAGGCTGAGGGATCTGAACTGGAGCCAGGAAGCAAAGCTCAAGGTAAGCACCGGAGTGCCCTCAAAAGGTACCACAGCCATCAGCAGCAGCAGTGAGGTCCGAGCGCCTCCAGCAATGAGGACAGTTGAGTTCCCATCAGGAAAGCCATCGCAACAAGCTTCCCCATGAAGCTGAGCAGTGCATCCGTTTCCCCTCCAGAGCCAGGAAGTGATGCTCAAGATGGGGGACCAGAGTTCCACTGAAATGAACCATAGCCATTCTCAGCAACAACGAAGGTCCCAAGCTCCTCCAGCGACGAGAACAGCCAAGCTCATCAGGAAAGCCAGCATGACAAGGTCCTCCAGAAGAACGGCCCAGAGAACCAGCAGCTTCCAGCAGCTCCAACAGCTTTTGCAAACAGCTTCCCTAACAGCCTCTCGGCAGCTTCTCCAGTTCTGCCTTTTATGCTGCTGGCATGACCCTCAGGTGGGCCGCCACACCCAGCACCACGCTGGCTCAGTTCAGCTGGGTGGAACAAGTCGACCACCAGTTAGCTATCCACTACACCTCCCTTTCCCTCCCCCTCTCCCCCACAGGCTGGGGACCAAACCTAAGGTCTCACGCACGCTAGACAAGGGCTCTACCAGAGCTACCTCAGCCTCAGTGAGCACTCTTAAGCTCAGGTCTCCACAGAAGAAATTTCACCTTTAGCGAGAGCTGACCACAGCAGTGAGAAGGCCAAGAGTCCTTGGTAGTGTCCCTGAAGCTTTGGCTGAATTAGGACAATAAGCAGGAGTCTGAGAACTAAGCTTCCACACATACAGGGCAAGACTGGGCCCCATGGCTGGCTCTGACCAGCTCCTTGGTTGGGACGACTCATCTTAGTGAAGTGGTCTTCACAAGCCAACCTACTGGTGCCGGCCCTTGGCTTCTAAGAGTCAGCCCGCCAACAATGCACTTGCTCTGATAAATTCCCATCAGGGCAACAGCCAGGCAATGTCTAATTCACACAGACAGAGACAACGCGCTTGCATCTCATGGTCTGAGCTCCAGACCACACCCTCCAGATGTACTGTGGAGACCAGCTTTTTGCTTTCTGCACAGGACAGTGCCTGACCAGTCCCGTGTGGCTTCCTCAGGCCGCCCGGCAGTGGCAGCCTTCTCTCCATCATTTCATTGCAGGTCTTCTGTGGTGGTTCATGGTCCTGTGGCAAACAAGCTCAAGGCCACTGTGTCTCCCACTTCTGGCTCCCATCCCAGTGCCCCATGTAGGTTAGGGCTGTGCAACACATCCAAGGAAGACTCAGCAGATAAAGAAGCTGGGAAGACGCGTTGTGGTTTCCCTAGGTAACAGCCAACTGGCAGGAGGCTGTATTTAGAAACCCTGACACCCACTATCAAGGGCAGTCAGGAAGCCTGGCTTGCAGTTATTCCTCAGCAGAACAGAAGGACAGAGGCACCCCCACTTACACACAGAGCCCTGGATCATGCAGCAGTCTCAGAAAGGCACAGGACACGTTTTCAAAAGTGAGCTGGGAGAGACAGAGAAAGGAAGCAGTGCGTGTGCATGTGCGTGTGTGTAGGTCTCTTAATACTTTGCTTCTGCTAAGGTCAAGACAAAGGCACGGGGGTGCCCTCATCCTTTCCCGATAAGCAGAGAGAGAGCTGGGAGTGACTTTGCTCTTGAAGTTGGGGTTAGAGTTGACTGTCACCTGGTGTGCCCAGATGGCATCCAGCTGCACAGGGCTCCTGTGAGGAGGGCCCCGGAGGTGACCTGGAACGCGAGTGCATGCTCGCTCGCACGCCGACCGTAGGCAGCACCAGACGCTCTGATGGGACACCTGGCATCTCCGCTCATTGCCCCCCTCGGTCAGTGCAGAAATCTAACATTTTAGAGTTCCCAACAGTTGCTGTTCTGGGCACTTTGGTCTGAACAAGTCTTGGCTGTGAGACTGTCCTGTCCTAGTGCCTCTGTTCTCTGCATGCTAGATGTCACTAGCACACTGTTCCCAAGTCTGGATTTCCAGAAATGTGTTCAGACTGTGTCAGTGAGCCCTGGGAAGCAGTGCCACCCTTAGCTGAGGACTGCTGCCATAGGGAAAAGGACAGGAGGCCTCTGAACCCTTTCTCCCCTTTCTCCTAGAACCCCCCCACTTTCCTAGCTACATCTCTAGTCTCTCTCAGCTTTGGCAATGGGGTATGCTTACCAGCTATAGAAAATGCAAGTGCGCTGCAGAACTCACAAGGGCGTCTACCTCCCTGGCCTGACCCAGCTCTGCAGGGGCAAAGCCTGTCATTCTGTTGCTGCTTTCCTCAAGCCCACAGCCTGCAGAGACCAGGGCTGCTAGGACAGGACAGCGTCACAGCCAAGACTTGTCCATTTGGTACGGTCTACTCAAGTGATGTGCTTTGCTATCCCTGGGGCCTGTGTGTGTTTCTGAACTGGCTTCAGGATGCGAGTGAGATTTGGAACGAGCCTTGATAAGGAGTGGGGAGGGTGGGGGAGAGGTCCCTGCATCCAGCAGAGTCGATGATGAGGCTACAGAATCTCACATAATAGGCTCAGGTTATTAAGAATTAACTCCAGGAAAATGTAGGTGGGGAGGAAATACGATATGAGCCTTACGGCTGCTGGAGTGGCTGTTGCACATTAAATGCCACCACTCATGGGGGTCTGGGGAGTCGTCCATCATGGGTCTTTAATTTCCTGCCATAGCTTCCCTCATGGTCAGGAGAGCAAAGAGATGGTCCTCCGATGGCTCACGGCCGATGGGGCCACAGGGAACACAGCCAGCAAGACCACAAGGCACATGGTGGGTACAAACACAGGCACTGAGACCCGAGGAAACAATATTTGCAACCTGGCATCAGGAGGGAAGGATGCTGCCGAGTGACAGTAACCTAGGTGACACCACATTGGCCACTGTAATTTGCAAGAAAAATGGATGGGGACAAAACACTAAGGTGCTGGGCCAGAAGTGTGGCCATCTCCTGTGGAACCTGGGCACCTCCTCTCCCTGAAGCCCCAGCTTCTCAGTGTAGAAAGCTGCAGGCATTTCAGAGGTGTGACCCTGGGAGTGCTAGGCACCTACTTCTCATGCCTTAAAGGATGTGACAAGTAGCCCAGGAGATGAAGCAGAACAGAAAGCAAACTCCTCACTTCACAGCTAGGGAAAGAATCCACTGGAGATGCCCATAAGGTGAGTAGCTCTGTGACTGAAGTTTGTCAGAGCGAACTCTCTGGCCCTTGATTTCCCCCCAGCCTGTCCCTCCCTAAGCCCCAGAGTTCTGCTTTCTGCCAACGTCGTGGCCGCCATCATGGGTGCAACCCGGGAAGATGTGAGAGGAGCTCTGATAAGGATCGCTGTGCACCCACCTCCATGGCTTCAGGCAAGGGCGAGACACTGTTGGTCTTCCTGGCGCCCACACGGAGCTTGGCGGCCTTGTAGATCTTCCAGTACACGAAGAGGACCACGCAGAGTGGCAGGTAGAAGGCCCCCACGGTGGAGAACACGGCGTAGGAGGGCTCGCGGCTCACCTGGCACTCCTCTCGGTGCTCTGAGTAGGTCTCACCCCAACCGAACAGCAACGGAGCCAGCGAGATGATAGCGGACAGCGCCCAGGTGAGCGCGATCATCACGTTGGACGCGCGCTTGCGGGCGCGGGTGGTGTAATCCAGGTGGCGAGCGAGGGACCAGTAGCGGTCCAGGGCTATGGCCGTCACGTTCCAGATGCTGGCCGTGCAGCACAGCACGTCGCATGCCACCCACAGCTGGCACAGCCGCCGACCCAGCTGCCAGCGGCGCCCGGACAGCTCGTGCACCAGGCTCAGTGGCATGACCAGTGCGGCCACTAGCACATCGGAGACAGCCATGGAGGCCACCAGGTTGTGTGGGACACGGTGGAAGGTGCGCACGCGGAGGATGGTGGCCAGCACCAGCAGGTTCCAGGCGAACGTGGCTGCCACCAGAAGACCCAGCAAGGTCAGAACAAGCATGCTGAAGACGGAGAGCAGGGGTGGGCCGGGGCGCAGGTCCTCAGCGCCCAGGGTGCGGTTGGGCTCCAGAGAGGATGGGGTGGAGAAGGCGAAGGAGAAGTTCACGAGCGGATCCATCGCTGGGGCCGGCCACCAGCGGCGGACGCACGCCGCACGCACGCCTGCTGCAAGGGCGCTCAGGACTCTGGCTGACCCCTTGCACTCAGAAGCAGCGTGGCTGTTCCGGTCTCTGGCCAGGGGTGGGGCGTCTTGGGAACGAAGGTGGCCCCCGCTTCCCACCTGAACGTCCAGAGAGATGGGGTGCCCTGGAGGAGGGCGCTGGGCTCAAGCCAGGAAGTCTGGAGCCCCCAGAGGCCAGGACGGCAGGGTCAAAGAGCTGGGTCACATGCCGCGGGTTCCTCACCTCGGCGGAGATGGCTGTCCGGTAGCTCTACAGTCTAACATCCTGGGCTTGGCCTTGCGGCGAGCGGGTGCCTGGCAATCGCCATGCGTCAGAGCCGAACTCTCCGCCGCGTAGCTCCCGCCGCCAGCCCCTCTCCAGGCAGCTGCCCGCAGCTCAGCTTCTCATGGGGGAAAGCCACGTAGGACCTGCTCCCAGAAACTGCCTCTTGATCCGGCCACGTCCCTTCCGCTCTCTGTCTGGGGCTGCAGCTCCAGGGAGGCGACGCTGGCGCGCCCACCAGACCTGCCTTATCAAAGTGGGACCCAGCCCTACGTAAGGTGTCAGCTGATAGAGCCGCCCGTCCCCGCCTGACTCCGCGCGCGGCTGTGGCGCTGTCCGCGGTGCCGCGCGTTCCCCGCGTTCCGCGCAGAACCCAGCAAAACATGCAGGGGCAGACCCTGCGTCAGTCGCTGTCCGCGGTGCTGACACCGCCTGCCGACCGCGTGGGTGCTGTCCGAGGTCCTGCCGCTTTGCCTGAAATAGGTGCTCTCGTGGACCGAGTTGGCCAATGAACTTTCCGTACTTGTCCTTCTGAAGGTGGCCTGAGACCTTAAGCCCTATCTTCTACTTCTCCTAGCTGCAGTCTGGGATGTTGCGCTGATTATTCTCATCCAGATTAGAGTACCTGAACGTTTCTTTGAACATGACTTTTTGTTGCTTCCCTTAAAGCGTTCGCTTTCCTACAGGTGAAAAGGTTTGATGCTATTTCCTTCTATTCTCAAATATGTGCACATATTGGAGCTAGAAGGCACATCCTAGAAAGAAGCAACAGCATTTTTCTGCACACTACAGCAAATCTGCTGCTGTGACAGGCACCGTTGGATACAAGGTATGTTGTACATGCTCTATGGCATGAAAAGAAGAGGGCTATTTAAATCCAGCAAAACAGAAACAAGATACACATCCTCATAAATTGAAAATGGATTAAAAGATACTATCCAGAAGTTTTAATCTATTATTAGCTAGTGCTTGGGATCCAAGCCAGGGCCTGTGCATGCTAGACAAGTCCTCTAACATTGATTGATTGGATTGATTGATTGATTGATTAGAGTTTTGAGACTGGGCTCATGGAGTGCAGGCTGGCCTTGAACTCACTTATGTAGTCAGGACTTGTCTTGAGCACATGGTAATCCTCCTGCCTCAGCTTCCTGAGTGTTGGGATTAGAGATCATAGAAGACAGGTGTCAAACTTAGGGGTTTTGCAAGGGGACCAATACACATTTTATAAGATTATTTTATAATGAATCACCCAAAGAATCGTATACAAAGAGTGCAGTAAATCTGCCCACATAGTAAAGACCAAAAATCCCAGCTGAGGACCTAGATCCTGATATCCTGCATGAGTCCAGCTGAAAACCTAGAACTCATAACAGTGTCTCCCACAAGTCTAATTGGAGGCCTAGAGCCCACAGCAAAGTCTCATGCAGGCCTGTGTCACAGATCTGCAGTGGAATGGCCCAAAGGTCAGTGGTGGAAGCTAGAAGTCTATGCCAGTGGGATGAAGGATCTGGGCTAGCAGGCTGAGGGGATCTGCACTGGAGCCAGGAAGTGATGCTTAAGGTAAGCACCAGAGCTCCCCCAAAGGTACCACAGCCGTCCTCAGCAACATGAGGCCCTGAGGTCCTCCAGCAATGAGGAATGCTGAGTTCCTATCAGGAAAGCCAATGTGATGAGCTTCTCCACAAGGCAGCATGTCATTTCCCCCTCTAGTTTGTCTTTACCCACCCAGGCAATATCTTTAAACATAAGCAAAATGCAGATCAAATCTCTGCCAAAGCATACTGCACTCCCTTGGTCCAGCAGCCAATGCAGTTCCTCTCAGTTGAAGCTTCATGAGCATCATCTTAATTGGTAGGATTTCCAGCCACACTCTGATTTTCCAGGCTCCGATCACAGTCATCACTACCCCTACAGCATATAGTAATGGAGAGCAAGCCTCTCTCCCTCCCTTACATTACATTCAGGCTGTCTGCCCCAGGGTGGGCGTAGCACGCACACCCATAATCCCAGCAGCACTCACACTCATCATCCCAGAATTGGATCATGAATTAACCACAAAATCTAGAAGGCCACCCCATGACTACATGAGGCTTGGGGGGCTATCTAGACCCAAACTATAGCAGAGATGTATGCCACCATGCCTGGCACCACATTAACATTTAGCTGTATCTCCAGCCCCAGAAATCATGGTTTATAGCACCTCACAGAGACATACAACAGAGTAAGATGAAAGAAATTGAAATAAGGAAAACTAGGGTAATATATTTAGGTAAATTAGGTAATAAGGTAATAAGGAAAAAAATAAGTAATAAGGAAAGTAGGGTAATATAGTTAAAAGTACAGTTTAGTTTTTGAAAAAGTACATGCAATGGGTATCATTAAGTTCTGTACATACAAGTAAATTTGGCCAGAAGATTTTTGATTATTTAAAAATAAGAAACAAGGGCTGGCCAGATAGCTCAGTGGATCAAAGTGCCTGCTTAGGCAGACACAGGGAACGGGGTTCAATCCCTCATGTGCTGTGCTGGCCCCATCCCCAGGGCGCACTGAGACTCGATTGGGACTGGGTGTGGTGGCACACACCTGTAATCCCAGCGCTTGGGAGGCTGAAAACAGAAGAATCGTTATGAGTCTGATCTATGTAGTGAGACTCTAGACTAAATGTGTATATATAAAATAGGAAACATACTGTTTTACAAGATTCTATTTGTCACAGAGTAAAACAAATGTCACTAGAATGTGCTGAGAAGTTAATCTTCAGAGTGACACGCTGTATTCTTAGAAGTATAGCTATTCTTATGAGGGCAAAACATTGAGAGTGGAGACATTTTAATTTGTTTTAGAAGCCTTCTATGGAGAGGATTAGGACATGATTTTGGAAGTTGTGAGACAGTGGCCAAGATGGTGATCCTTCATTATTGACATATGTAACAAGAATGGAATGGTGTCCGACAGAAGAGCAGTCCTAGACTCAGTGTGTGGGCAGTCACCGAGAGACTGCTCAATTCATCACTCAAAACAAACCAAGGGTGGATGACCAGGAAGCCGACAGCCCACGAAGGAGGCCAGTGACCAGGCCCACACTTCCTCTCAGACCCAAAGCAGGGCCAGGCGGCTGTGAGCAAGGGCTCTGCAGTGCAGCAACAGCGACTGTCTTCAGGAATCTCCTCGTCCCTCCTCTCCAGCAACCTGCAGCTATCTGCACAGGTCACTGTGCACCAGGAAGAGGCGACACCCAGGCTGCTGGAGGCAGAGGGTGAAGAGACCTTGACATTTGGAACGCGCCACAGCCAGCCTCCCTCAGAGAAGTGGCAGGTGGAAGCCAGTTAATAGCAGAGCCTGGCCCAGGTCCGGCTTGCAGATGATGCACTGGGCCACTGCACCTGCTCCATGGTGCTCCCTCCACTTCCCAGGGGCATCATCAGGGCACATCGTGGTCACTGACAGAATCCCGTGCTTGTGCCTTGCCCTTTGGAGAACTACTATAAAGGACAGGCCAGGAGGAGTCTCTAGAATTTCTCCCCCTACTGGAGCTCAGATAGTAAGTAACAACAGTCCTTCAGGAGGGCATCTGATGGCAGAGAATTTTGCCTCCTGTCCTAGCCGCATGTCATTTAGTTGGTCTTTACAAAAACTGGTTATAACGGGACAGTGATCTACCACAGACAAGCCCAAGGACAGCTACATGGCCAGCTGAGCAGGATGAGGGGGTGGGTGCATCTGCTCGAGTGCATTTGCTACTGCCTGCGGTGTGGGACGCTCAGCCATTGACCTGGCTGTGAGTCACTACATGCCTCTCAGTAGGAGAATGAATGCAGTTTCCTCAGAATAGCCAATGAAAGCACTGTGTTCTTGCTCTGATCCTAAGCCCACTGTCTCTCTCTCTGCTGTCAAATCAGAAGGAATGGCTCACTTAGACCAGAGGTCTTCACAGTGGGTTCTATGCTCTGCAGAGGCTCCCAGCCCCTTGCTGTGGGTTGGGAAAGGTCGTCATTTCCACAATGATGCTAAGAGATTGTCTTCATGCTAAGAGATTGCTTCTTCATTGTGTCAACTTTGTGCTGATGGTGCAAAAGTGGCAGTGAGCATCCCTGGGGAGGCCCGCACGCAGGCCAGGGCCATGAACACAGGCTGTGGATGCTGGCATCCTTCACTGCCCTGCATTCACGGGAGAAAAAGAGAGCTGCAGGATCACTTCAGAGTGCCTTGAAGGATGTAATGAAGTTGGTTCTCGTGTTAGAGTTTGACTTTGGATGTGCATCCTGAACACCCGCACACCACCCTCTGCCTCAGAGCACCTTTCCAGAGCACATGAGCGAAGACAGCAAGCCCAGCACCTGTGTGGAGCGGGCAAAACTATGCCGAACGACGGAGGAAAGGGCTGAAGTGACTGTATCTAGATGGCCGCCTCCTTGAGTCCTCATAGGTGCTTGGGGGGTGGAGGGAGGTGGCTGGATGGAAAGCGACTGCTGTTAGAAGGTGGGGCCCTGCTGGCAGAGGCAGCCACCGGTGGCTTGGCCTGGAGGAGTCCGTCTCATGCTCCTGGCCCTCTCCTCTCCTGCTCCTTGTCCCCCATGCTGTGAGCAGCACTTCTCCGCCAGGCCCTTCTGCTGTGCCACTCTAACTCAGAGTCAGCTGACCATGAACCAAAATGTGAGCCCAAAGGAAGCCCTCCTTCCTTATGCT